GTACAATATGTATGTATTTACAAAAAAAAATTATCTATATATTTGTAATCAGTAAAAATTTATTTCCTTTCCCTTTAGTTCTACTTTTCCTTTTCTTATAGTTCCCTTTCCTTCAGATTTTCCATGGATATGTGTATTATTAAGTTTATGTATGTTTATGTAGGTATGTACATATGTTTGTTTATATATATTTATCAGGGATGTTAGGGAGTCCGTAACTGTAACCGAAACTATCGGATATCCGAAAAAAAAATTCGTAACCGTAACCGAATACGAAATAAAAGTTTCGGATAATATCTGATAGGGGCGCAGCCTAATTGAGGCTAATTGTAATTTCTACCAAATGTTGACATATGAATAAAACCGTTTTATTAGCTATTTGTATTTTACTTTTGAAATTCCTTAAAAAATTAATATCCGTAACCGAAATTATACGAAACTAACGGATAATCCGAAATTATTTCATATCCGCATCCGTATCCGTATCCGGTATACCAATCATTCCTATATCCGAAACCTATCCGTATCCGAAATTTCATATCCATAACGTCTCTACGTATCTCTACGTATTTATGTATATTTGCGTGTATTATTTATACCTATCTTAGTTGAGTTATCATTTGTACCACCTACTATTTTACTTACATTTTCACCGTCTACCTAAAGGTTGTGTGTAATTTTCCTGCAATTATTGTCATTTTTCGCACGGCATTACACCTTCAACATACCACAACACACCTACACTATAAATGTATATATACGTCCCTATAAAGTCTGAATGTTGGGGATATGAAAAAATCCTGCCCTCTGGAGTGACAGTGACAGTATCGCGGGAACGAACAGCGGTTACGGCGAGCATATTAAAAACTTGGTGCAAATTGGCGGATTTTTGGTGTATTTGGGGTGAGTATAGGGACAATTTTATTTATTATTTCGTGTACACAAAAGTGATTAGATAATAGGCATCGGCAGAGGTATATTTGTAAACACTCTGAACCAGCGACTAACGCGGGGTGAGGAGTAGGTGACGAATTGATTACCACCGAATACCATTAATACATCAAGTTAAAACAGACAAGACCGCCCTTGTACTCGTCATTGTATACACATATTTTTATACTAGCTTTTGCCCGCGGCTTCGCTTGCGTTAATTTATCCCCTTAGGGGTGGAATTTATCAAAATCCTGTCTTGGGGGATGCCTATGTCATAATAGCTTTATGTATGCAAAGTCTCAGCCCGATAGGTTTAAAATTGACAAAGTTTCATACAAACTTTCATCCCCTGTTTTATCCCCTTGGGGGTAGAATTAATCAGAATCCTTTCTTAGCGGATGCCTACGTCATAACATCTACCTGTATGCTGTAGGCCAGTATTACCAAGCGCCCTTTGTAACTAAGCAAGCCGGTGATACAACCTGCTTAGACTACCCTTCCCTTCCCCCCTCCCCTAAATTAAAATTTGACTTTAAAGTGGCCGCATGTGGTTCCTTGGTTGCCAGTATTACCAAGCACCCTTTGAAACTAAGCAAGCCGGTGATACAACCTGCTTAGACTACCCTTCCCCCCACTCTTAAATTTGACTTTTAAGTGGCCGCATGTTGTTCATTGGCGGCCAGTATTACCAAGCGCCCTTTGAAACTAAGCAAGCCGGTGATACAACCTGCTTAGACTACCCTTCCCCCCACTCTTAAATTTGACTTTTAAGTGGCCGCATGTTGTTCATTGGCGGCCAGTATTACCAAGCGCCCTTTGAAACTAAGCAAGCCGGTGATACAACCCTTCCCCCACTCTTAAATTTGACTTTTAAGTGGCCCATGTTGTTCATTGGCGGCCAGTATTACCAAGCTCTTAAATTTGACTTTCCCCCTCCCCTAAATGACATTAAAGCCGCATGTTGTTCATTGGCGGCCAGTATTACCAAGCGCCCTTTGAAACTAAGCAAGCCGGTGATACAACCTGCTTAGACTACCCTCCCCCCCCCCCCTTAAATTTGACTTTTAAGTGGCCGCATGTGGTTCATTGGCGGCCAGTATTACCAAGCGCCCTTTGAAACTAAGCAAGCCGGTGATACAACCTGCTTAGACTACCCTCCCCCCCCATTAAATTTGACTTTTAAGTGGCCGCATGTGGTTCATTGGCGGCCAGTATTACCAAGCGCCCTTTGAAACTAAGCAAGCCGGTGATACAACCTGCTTAGACTACCCTTCCCCCCCACTCTTAAATTTGACTTTTAAAGTGGCCGTATGTTGTTCATTGGTTGCCAGTATTACCAAGCGCCCTTTGAAACTAAGCAAGCCGGTGATACAACCTGCAAAGACTACCCTTTCCCCCCCCCTTAAATTTGTCTTTTAAGTGGCCGCATGTTGTTTATTGGTGGCCAGTATTAACAAGCGCCTTTTGCAAGTAAGCAAGCCGGTGATATAACCTGCTTATACTAATGAAGTTTTTTTTTTATTAATAATGGAATTGCGCTTGGTCTTACCTCATCTGATGGTAAATGATGGCAAGACCTAGGATGTAGCGCGCTCACCCAGAAGTTCGGAATACGGTACAGAAATAATAATACCCGTATATATTTTTTTATAATTTCTATATTTCGTAATAAAATATATCCTTCAAACTTACACAATACATCAGATCTTGTAACGTTCCGTATCATACACTTATTAAGACTAGAAAATAATATTGAACTGAGATTCCAGGGAAGACAAACAAGATATATAACGTGATTTTAAAAAAACTACGATATTTACATTAACAATTATGAAGAAATTACGTTTAGCACCGCTGTGATACAATTAATAAATATTATTCATATTAAACCTTAAATATACATTACGTATTCATTATAGATTAAAAATTTTTTTTGGTGAATATGTGCATATAAAATAGAACTAAATAAAAGTGTAAAAAACTATTCAATATGTCATTCAACGTAAACAAGATTAATATACTTTTGTCGCTTATATCTTTTAACTAGCTTTTGCCCGCGGCTTCGCTCGCGTTAATTTATACTTTTAGGGGTGAAATTTATCAAAATCCTTTCTTAGGGGATGCCTACGTCATAGTAGATTATGCATGTAAAATGAAAAGTTGAGACTTTATGAAACTTTGTCAATTATAAACCGGGCTGAGACCCGATCGGTTTAAAATTGACAAAGTTTCATACAAACTTTCATCCCCTTTTTTATCCCCTTGGGGGTAAAATTAATCAAAATCTTTTCTTAGCGGATGCCTACGTCATAACATCTACCTGCATGCCAAATTTCAGCCCGATCCATCCAGTGGTTTGGGCTGTGCGTTGATAGATCACTATGTCAGTCACTTTTGAGTTATATATATATAGATTATATACATATCAATTATATTATCTATCTGAAATTATAAACGCGAAGTTTGCAAGAAAGGATGGATAATAAATAATCTCAGGGCAATTCACACAGCGCCATCTAACTCATTCCATACCTTGCACGGTACAAACCTTTTGTATTCATGAGCATGCATTATTTGTATTAGTCGGGTTGGTTTCTATGTATATTATGCATTAAAAGTATCTTAGTATTTATATCAGTTGTCTAGTACCTATAACACAAGCTTTGCTTAGCTTGGGATTAGATGGCGTTGTATGAATACAGACATATTCGTGTATTCAAATGTAACAAAATTTATATTGTATTTATTTTATATTTATAAAATAAATACAGGAATATGTATTGTTATGGTGAGGGAATTTATTCCACTGCTATTGATGGACAAAGCAGCTTAATAAAGTGAAGTCAAAGTCATTTATCCTAATAAAAAAATTAAGTCCTATTTATAAAGAAAGCAGCTTACTAAACTGCTAAAAGCTAACAGCATTTATCGTAATAAGAATATAAGCGACTCCACATAAAAAAACAAATGAGAAACTTAGTATCACGTAAAATAATTCAACTATGTGACCCAACAGTGTAAACTCTGTATAAAATCCAACCAAAACATAGACTACCTTCACAAAAAACTGTAAACAATATATTTATTACGTTACATTACAAAAAAGCAGTTCTTTACAATTACAAACTAACATATTTACAATGTTACCGATATACAAAAAATAATACTCAATCATACTAAAAACATAACACACAATAACGTTATAAATTATAGTTTATTTACAATATATCAATACAATACAGTGGACCCCCGGTAGTCCGACAATCATTTTGCAGGGCAGTGTCGGACTATCGAATTTGTCGGATTATAGAGTACTGCCTAAGACCCCTTATAGTCCGAATTTATTTACAAAAGAGTACCTTGTAATCCGGAAAATTATAGATCCAGTGATGATTCTTTATATTATATACATATAGTGGACCTCCGGTTACCCGACAAACGTTTTGCAGGGCAGTGTCGGACCATCGTATTTGTCGGATTATAGAGTGCTGCTTAAAGGTCCTCTGCTTATAGTCCGGAATTTTTTACAAAAGAGTATCTTGTAATCCGACAAATTACAGATCCAGTGATAAGATTCTATGTTATATATGTATGTATGTATATGCACTCTGAAGTATATTGTCAAAGTAATATTCAATAACAAATAATAGACAATGTCGGATTACAAGGGGTGCCGGATTAGACAGGGGCCGGATTTCCGCGGATCCACTGTAATACAGTTTTAACTATGCTAATTTCAATTATATTGAAACTATAACATGTTATTTCGAATAATGTTTCACACGTGCTGAAAACAAAACACATTTCTGTGCGCACCGGCAAAATAATACTTATATACATTAATCATAACACAGTTTATGATAATATCATTGAAACATATTATGATTAATCAGGCATTACCGCTGTAGATATTTTTTTATATGACTGTACTTAGATGTAGAAAAAAATAAAGATTAGTAATCATATTCTAGCTATTGAACGTAAGTTAAAAATTATAATATAAAAAACTTGACGTTCGTAAGCGGCTAAAATGTCCTCTATGAATAAATGATTTCAAAATTGACCACAACGATATCATACTACAAGATATACCCTCTTAAAAGCCAAGAACGACTGAAGAACTTAGAGGAATACAAAAAAATAAAGATTGTCAATTGTAATCATATTCCAGCTATTGAAGCTTATTGAATTTAAATAATTCGTTTGAAAGTAATAAAACTTATATCAAAACATTTCTTTTTTAAATACTAAAAGTGCAAATACTTCATATCGGATCTGTTTTAAAAATAAAATCAGAAACCATATAAAATACTATTTTGTTGCATTCTCATTGAAATTATTTATGTATATTGAATTTCAGTTTAATCAAATACAAACAAAAATTAAACAAAAGACGGTGTAAAAACAAACGTAGTAATGGTTTTAATAAGGTCCTATTTTGCATGATTCGCTTTTCAATACTATTTATAATACATCATATAGTCATACTAAGTACACGTCATGATGCCAAAGACATGTCATTCAATAAAATCTAATATTAAATAAATAATGATGCCCATATTACAATCAGAGGTGTATAAATTGGGACCTGCCCTGCACAATCTACAGGGCGGGCCAACGCCGCCGGTGACTGGTAGAATGCGAACATAACCTCGTGATTCCGGCAATGGCGCTCATAAATACACCCTGTAGTTTTATAGTGGGTAAGAATCCCACACACCCTCTCGTGACCGCTCTGACAGGGGGACAGTCTTTAAAAGATTTTTCCATACAGTAAAAAGGGGTGTTTAAATTAAATGTCACATTCAAATTCTGGTACCCTCTTGTTCCTACCGTCAGGTGTCATTTGAAAGTGGCCGTCCCTGGTACCTATACGAGGGAAACCGTTGAAACTATTCCTACTGACTAAAGGATTCTCTCTCTCCCTTTCTCTATGGAAACTGGACGTCGAGAGCTTCCCATCTTTCCGTTCGGCGAAAGTCGTATCGTTGAAATTCTTGTCAGTGAAGTTTCTCTCTGTGAAATTCTTGTCGCTGAAGTTGCGTTCATTGAAGTTTTTGTCGCTGAAGTTTCTGTCTGCGAAGTTCCTGTCGGTGAAGTTTTTGTCCGTGAAGGTCCGCTCGTTGAATTCACCGTCAGAGAAGTTTCTCTCATTGAAGGGTACGTCGCGGATACCGAATCCACCCATCCGTGGGGTTCCAATACCGAATTTGTTACGGAGCTCCTCGTCTCTAAAATTGAAGGCACGATTGTCGAATTTGACTGGAGGCTTATTGTTCAATCTGAAAAAACATATTTTCTTTGTTGAATAACTTTATTCCGTCTATATTTTAATATTTATATATATTATTTTATTATAATTCAGTATGTATCTTTTTCGTAAAAAAAATAATACATTTGAATGAAATCGTAAATGTAACAAAGAGAGGTATGGAATCTTTGTCCATTCTGAAATGGATAAAATTGCAGACAATTTTTGTACAAATCTGACTTTAGTTAATGATAAAGCAAATACTCACTCTCTAAACACACGACGCTCTCTATCATATTCAGCTGATAATCCCTCATCATCATTTATAATCGCTGACGGATCACTATAAACTGAAGACTCTTGGTAAAACGAATCCAAATCCACGTAATTGCCTTCTGAGGGCTCATTATCAAGAAGCTCCGCGAGTTGAGCTTTCAAATCTGCGAAAGTAGGCCTCTGTGATGGGTCTGCATGCCAGCAAGAATGCATAGCTCGGTACAGCTGCGGCTTGCAATGTGGTGGTCTTTCTAAACGATATCCTTCAGTAACAGCGGCAAGTACTTCTCGGCCAGACATGGCTGCATATGGTGTTGAACCTAGAATTAAAAAGAATACAAATTTAGGAAGAACATAAACGAATGCAAATTGATAATATACAATACGATATTCTGAGTGCCATGTTTTTTTGGGATTTCTCGTAATTCGTTATATACCAGCTAGAGCAGGAAATGGTAAAACATTATTTGTTAAAGAAAACTATCTGCTCATCTAACTGTTGACAAACTGTCTTTGAGCCTGTTCTGGTTTGAGAGTACTCTGTTATAAAACTACATATTTGAAATCATATACAATATTAAGTCTAAAGAAGAAGAGCTGAGTTTTCTTAGCAGTTCTTAGATGAAAGCTTAGATTCATAATCATGATGATGATGTTGATAATGATAATAATGATGAATGAAATGATTAAATAAATATAATACTGACCTAACGTAACGATCTCCCAAAGCAATATACCAAATGCCCACACATCTGTCGGATGGCTGTAGACGTTGTATAAGAGCGCTTCGGGCGCCATCCACCTGACGGGCAACGCCGAGCGAGCGGCTCTGGCAGATGCGCCTGCGCATCTTGACATGCCAAAGTCTGCGATCTTGCATAGCTTGTTGTGGTCGACTAGTACGTTGCGAGCTGCCAGATCTCGGTGCACAATCTGCGCTTACACACATTAGATTAATAATGTAAGATCATTGGAAATTTAAACTTACCCCAACGTCGCATGAAATATTGGAAAAAAATATTTTACAAAAAGTAATATTTTCTATTGTTATCTAGATATACACATTCCTAATTTTAAAGCTACAGAAGATGAAAAGAAAATTTCTCATAAATATACGATAGTGTAGTATTTTCTTAAAACAGATATTTATCAAGTCTCTGTTAGAAAATTATAATTATTTTAGTAACAAATGTCAAACATTGAATTTTTTATACAACTGTGGTGACTATGTAGCAAACGGTCCACATTCTTAAAAAACCTCATGTCTCTATAAAAAACATTGGTACGCAGTTCATTCCACAATCTAAGTGTACTTTATAAATTTGTTAACCATTCACCAATATATTTTTAGAATATACTTTAGTCTCTCAAGTCCAATATTACATTAAGAGCAAGCATTCGTTTAAGGAGCGATTCTTAAATATCTAAAATTACACACCCCTTTAGAAGCAATGTAGTCCATCCCTCTAGCGACACAATAGGCGAAGACAGTCAAATCTCTTGAAGTGAGGGCTCCGCTTCCACTAAACCGGTCAGGCCTTGATCGCCGCTCGCGCAGATAGGTCAGTAGTTTACCACACATTACGTACTCCATTATCAATAGATAAGGTTCTGAAAGCATTAATGAACATATCAAATTAAAAAAAAAAGTTAAGTAATCAACGATATGATACAAAAGATAGAAAAGAAAGTCTTTAAGAGTATATCCACTTGTGTAGTTTTTACTATTTATTTTTTATTTATTCATTTATTTCAGGCAACTAGGCCCATATTATAAATACCTTATAGACTAACATACATATAATATAATATTTAAAAACTAATACAATCATATTGTCTGTGTGATCACGGCACTGAAGATGGCAATCTGCCACGGTAGCGCCGATACACCACACCTTTCGCCCAGTAGTCGTAGGGCAGCAAGTCGGTGGGGACCAGGGCCACAAACGCTTTGAAACTCGCGTTGTGACTCGACTTCAGCTGCGTCACCCTCAATGTTAGGTTACTCTTGGTACGAATATAATCGACAATGTCCTGCTCCTTAGTGGCGTAATGTAGACGGGACAGGTACATTGTCGTGGTCGGTGTAGCAGCACGCAGCAGAAAGTTGGGCCCAGTGAGTGCAGTGCCACAATGATTTCTATTGCCCCTGTTTGTGCGCCTCTTCTTTTGTACCACGACGAAGCCATCATCGTCGCGGTTCCCAGTGGCAGCACACGTAGGGTCAATGTTCAGTGCCGTTTTTGGCACACGCCGCTGTACTGAAGCAGCCGGTTTGCTAGACGACGGCGGCAAAATCTCGACGCTGTGGTTGCACCGAGGATTTTGTTAGCGCTGCTTCCACATGCAGCGGTATCGGCGCTCGCGAGCTGCGGGCGGGGAGCACGGGGGGCGCGGCGGCCGGCGGTGACACCACGTCTGGTGACGTCAGTGTCGACGCCGAAACCGCTGACTCCGCCGTGAACGCATCGCGGCATGCCCCACGGCGCGTGTTGATGTTCGTAGCATCAAGTGACCTAGTTTCTTTTCGCGAGTCGCGCAAACTGTCCACTTCCTTGCGCAACTCACTAATTATGTGCTCTGACGCATTGAAACGTAGCGTCACATCTGCCAAACTCTTTTTTAAGGACACGATATCCTTGAGTAGGCTGGTAACATCGACGTGATCAAATGTGACTGGAGGAAGTTTGTTTAAATCCTTCGCCACAAAAGTCAGCACGTCGTCTGGATCGGTCTCCTTCAGCAGCGTTATAATGTCCTGTACGCTTTTTTGTGTCCCGTCACGTCTACGAGACACCATCTGATCAGTCTTATTTAGGGACTCAAAGAGCAGAGCCTTCGCTCTCGCGATGTCGTCCTGGCTGAAGTTGGATACACAGATCTGGACTGCACTTACTTCGTCCATTACGTCCAGCTTCTGCTGCAGGAACGCAAGGAGTTCGTTGGCCACAAGTTTGTCACACATGGCTGGAACTTCGACTAGCACGGCTTATGCCGCGCTGAGCAATTACGATATTAAATAAAATAATTATAATACGTGCACATCGGATCGCGCTTACACTGAGACTCGAACGTACTATAAAAACGTAAAATATCTTGATGTACTATTAGATAGATGTCTACCAGGAGTAGATAGGAAAACGATGTCTGTGTATTTACCTCAGTCTCACCGACTTCCACCGGCGATTGCTATAATAGCTATATTTCAGTTGTAGGCCAATGAAATATACATAGTTCTCTAAAATTACAACACCTGAGTGGTATCACGGGTGTCACACGATAATGTGATGTCCGTGGTGCTGTTCATGTATATAGGTGACGGTTATCGCTTACCGTCTGATGGGCTACCACCTTGTTTGGCATTCCAATAAAAAAAACATATTTTAATCCTTTGTTTAAAATATGTTTAGAATCATATTTACCTTGTTCAGTGCAACAGGCCAGGAGTGTGACCACATTTGGATGTGTTCCAATCTTCTGCATAATGTAAATTTCATGAAGGAGCTCCTGTTTCTCTTTCTGCGAAGCTGTTTCTTTGATACTTTTTACCGCAACCAACCGGGTCAGGCCATCATGTCCATTTAAGTCATCAGCCTCTGCTTTCCATACCTGAAAATGAATATTATCAGCATTTATTATTATTATTTTTACATTTTATATTAGTTTAAAGAAAAATGTAAGTCTATATATATAAAGCTTTTCCAAATCTACGAAGTGCGCAACACTTTCGACAAAATAACTGTCATTTTCGATATATTTAAGACTACCCTTAAAATACTTTGTTAATAATTTAATTTTTGGCATTTAATTTTTATTAGTACAACGAATTAATTACTGTAGTTTTGATATATCGTAAGAGTCTTTATTAGACCAACGTAATTAAATTATTTTAGTTCAATTTTGATATGACTGTTTATCAAGTACAATTTAATTGTAATTACTATGTACCTAATAATTTAATATTTAACAAAATTGTAAAATTTCTACAGAATAAATGATTATGAATAGGAATATGGTTCAAGATTATTAGTTCTTACCTGTCCAAAATTTCCTTGCCCTAACAAAGTTTGCAGTCTCAATTTATTTCTAGGAAACTCCCATTTCTGGTCAGGTTTACTAGGCGTTGGCAAAGGCGGTCGCGCCACTGTTGTTATTGGTGATTCCTTTTTAATATCACCATCATCAAAATATCCTTCGTATTCCGTATCTATTTCTTTTGTTTTCTTATTTAATATATTTCTTAAAATAAACGCTACGATAGCTGCAATTGGCAAAAAACCTAAACCGGCTAATACATATGACGCCGTATATGATTTTTCAGCTTCTATTACTACTTCTTCATTCTGTGACGTTGAACCTTCTTCACCGTTATTTGTCATATTCGCAACAGTTGTGTTAACATCCGTTGATGAAGCGCTTGAAGCAATTATTACAGGTTTGGATCTAGACTGTGAAGATGTTTTTGAAGTTACAATAAACGGTTTAAATGTAGTCGTCTTGTCTGTTTCTAATTTAGTAGTTGCAGTACTCGCAAGTGTTGGTGATATTGTAGATTGTGATGCAGATTTCTCAGTAGGTGTATAAACAGGTGAAGGTGGCCTGAATGTGGTCGAACTCGTTGTACTCGAGGGAGACAATGTAGTAGTACTGGTGGTCGTTGGGCGACGTCGCTTAAGAATATTTCTTGGTCGAACAGTACTTCCATTAACTATGGTTTCATATGCATTTTGCCTCAATAAACTGGCTAGCCTTTCAGATATACGTGATGTAGTAGCTTCATTTTTTAAATCGCTACTGCCTGTTGAAAATTCACTTATAAATGGAGGATCGGAAGGTCTATAAACTACCGGTGGAGGACGAGGAGTAGAATTTACGCTACTCTCTGTAGTTGTAGTTCTGATCCTTATCCTGTGTCTTGACGGTCTATTAGTAGATGACAGAACTGTAGTAGTTTCTGTATCATTCAAATAAATTGGTTTTATTGCACTACTATTCTTCAATAATTCTATATTTTCTACTGGTATTGTACTGTTATCGGATTCTTTGGTAAGAGAATCAGTTTTATTTAGTCCTTTCATAGATGACGTTATTGATACTGAAGTAACAACTGCGGTATAAACGGATGTGGAAGCTTTTTCTGTAGTTGCATTAACGCCTATTGGAACAATATTTTCTGTAGTCAAAGCAGCCGTTACTCGAGCTGGTCGACGACGTAGATTAAAATAATTACGAGTGTAATTTCGAGGTAATATAGTTGCATTAGTCCTGGTTGGCATATTCTCTTTTATTATATTTGTACTGTTTGTCTTATTTGTTACTTCTTTTGTTGAATTACTACTATTAGTAATTGGATTAATTTCTTTACTTTTATTGAAATAATTTGGTGTAACGTTTAGTACTATAGGTTCTGTAACATTTAACTCTGCAATATTTGGAGATTTTGTAGTGGCTTGAGAACTACTTGAATATTTTCTGTATGCGTTTACGTGTCGCGCCGGGGCAGGTCCCTTCACAGTATTTCTAATTTTGTTCTTTTCTATTATATTTTTAACAACAGAGACATCCATATCTTCATTTATTTCTTCTTCGTCAACACTAGTATTTTTATATTTTTCTGTTGCAGAATACCTTGAGTTAAATTTACGCTTTTCTAAAGGAGCAGCAATAAAATTAACTGACTTCGTTGATGCTGATAATGTTGGAGAATTTGTTAAATTATCACTAATGATCTGTCCATCTAGTTTTTTACCAAATTGTATAAATGGGACCATTTCTTCTACAGGTAATTCACTTTCTAGTGGGCGGAAATGATTATAAATTTCATCAGACATAAATAAAGTATGATTTATTTTCTCTTTGTCGTTTAAATTTTTCAAAGGTTTCAATAGTTTAGTTTCAGTGCTGTTTATAATAATGTTAGTTTCTGGTTTATCAGCTAATTCTTCCTTTTGAGATTGTGTCGATACAAATTCATTGGTATTGTTACTAGCTATTGGTGTGGTTATGTTTTCAGGTGTAGTTGTAATATTTTCCTTGAATTCCGTACCGATATTGGTTTTATTTAAATGTGGACCAATTGTTATATTTTCGGAATCAGAGTAATTAAGTAAATATAGACCATGATTGGACTCATCGACCTGAAATTCTTCATCTGGATCTAAATCCACTTCTCTATCCAAACCTTCTAGTTTTTCAGGTGGAATATATACTACGCCACTTTCGCTAACATGTTCTATAGCGCTAAGTCCCTTATAAGTATTTACAGAATCTCGTCTACGATTATTTGCAAACCCAGTTCGACTTTTATTCTCTTGAATATTTTTCGGTACAAATAAATGCCTGGTTTCATGAGGTTTTATTTCGACTACCTTCGTGCCATCAGTGGTTACTTTTTGTAGTGGCAATGCTTCAAATGTTATTCTTTTTACTGTAACATTATTTGCATCTCGAATCTCTATTTTAGCGTATGTTGTGTTGCTCCTGAAAATAACAAAAATGTTATTAATAAATTTGAATTTAAAAAGGTATTTCAATGTTAAATAGTCTGCATGAATAATTGAATGGATTTCAATTTAATCTAGCTTTTGGTATTTTTATTATTGGTTTATAATATCACGTGGATTAAATAAACGAGAATCTAAAGTAAAATAAAATAATATCATACTGATTGATTAAGCAGATAATCAAATAAAGTAATAAATAAAGATACTCTCATACTTATAGCATTACATTGGATCTATATTTTAACAAGCTGTTGCATGCAGCTTTGTACACGAAGCTTAGTAGTAATTTCAGGATTCGAAGATAGATAAATAGATATATTGTTTATTTGATTATTAATACGAAGCATGACATCTTTGTCCTCTATAATAATAAAATTTGTATGAGCAGCATCCCGGGCATCATATATACGTGGTGTTCTTCATGCAGGCTAAAAGGTTACTATTTACCATTGAAGACCAACCAGCTTCTATACCATTTCAATAAAATAAAAAGAAACTAAATTTACTTACTTTCTAGCTGCTTGCGCTAATGATGGTAGTGTACTCAGCAATGTTGGTGCTCTTCCACCAAATTGCTTCCGTCTCGCAGCAAGCACCGACAGAAGCAACGAGTCTCTGGTCACGTTTGTACTACTCTGTGTTGTGTTCCGTCGACTACCTGTAATTAATTAGAAAAAAAAATTAACTAACAACATATTTTTAAGATTTTAAAGACTGTAGTGATGTACAGAAACAACATTTTTTTAAATTCTAAAATCGAAACAATTAATAATAATAATGTGAAAGATTATATGGTAAGAAAGAAAGTAAATAACGGAATTACTGCGAACAGGGATGAATGGAAGAGAAAAACATATTACAACGACCACAAATAAATGGGATAAGGAAGAAGCAAATGATGATGATGATCCCTCCTATAGATTGGTGATTTCGTAAGACAAATCTATATAAATAAGATTTGTCTTTGCGTCTGCGCTAACTGTTTACGCTGGTCGAGCACCAGTGGAGGTTGATAAGATGAGCATGAGATCAAGTCAGTTAGCCCATCGTGGTAAATTCACCATGAATTTATCACGATGGTTTCCAGGGAGAACTACGTTGTGGTAACTTAAGACGGTACATTGTTAGGAATGGGGTTATTAGTCCACATTACTAACAATCACCTTTCCCTAAAAATAATGTGCTCGCACTCATCATGATGATGATGATGATGCTTGGTATGTGATTGATTTATTGTAGTATTAAAGTCATAGTAATCTGTCATACCATCATAGTTGTATGTTTCTATCGCAACACCTTGTTAGAGGCTTATTGCTTGATTGCTGACAAAAATGAGTGCCTAATGAGTGACGGATCGCGTGATGACCACCACAATTGCAATCATTATAAATAAGAATGACTAGTAGGGACTTCAATAAGGTTGTACAAAGTAACTTTTTTGAAAGATTTAAACTAGATTTTGCTTTTATATAATTAACTTTTTTAATGGGCACAATTTTGACCTTCAAAGTAAATTTTGCTTTAAATATAGTTTCCCAACTACTACTTTGAACAAACAAAGTTGAGTGTTTTCTACGTGTATTTAAATAAATATAAATAAATAATCCTAGGAAAATTAATATACAGTGAATACATAGACACTTTTTTTGTAAATGCATACCATAATTATGTATGTATTTAATAATTGTCTAGGACCCATAATACAAGCTCTGCTTATCTTGGGGTTATATGTCGTTGTATAAGTTTTAGTAGTTTTATGTAAGTTATTATTATTATCTATATTCATTAATGTATTAATGTAAAAGTGTACAAATATATAATAAATAAATAAATATTTGTGACAACCCTAGCCATCACCCACAGAGGTGTGAGACAATGACCTGGTACTGACTATGCTTCAGATATAAGGCCTTGACACGATGAGTTGTATGATGTATGACGAGGAGAAAGTTTGACGAATGTATGATATGTGCCGTCGCTCGTTGTGGAGCTGTAAGTATATAATTGTCACGATACATTTATGTCATGTTTAGATATATGGAGGTTAACTTTAATCTATAATATAATAATAATAATATTTCAGGACCATTCACACAGCGCCATCTAGTCCCAAGCTAAGCAGAGCTTGTGTTATGGGTACTAGACAACTGATATAAATACATAGATACATTTTTTTTTTGTTAATAAATACATATTATACATAGAAAACACTCAGACCGATACAAACAGACATACTCATGAATACAAATGTTTGTACCGTGCGAGGAATCGAACCCACGACCATCGGATAGTAAAGCGGTGTGCTAAACCACTAGACCACCGAGGCTGTCGAAATCTAAATAAAATTGGAGTGCCTGTTTGTAATATTGAAATAACAGTTTTTTACTACACGCATATGAATATAAATACGGTACATACACTGTACGGTATACTGAACTGGACGGTAGGGAAGAAATATTAATATAAAAAACTTGACTTTCATCTTATATATAAAATTCTCGTGTCACAGTTTTCGTTCCCATACTCCTCCGAAATGGCTTGACCGTTTCTCATGAAATTTTGTGAGCGTATTGAGTAGGTCTGAGAATCGGCCAACATCTATTTTTCATCCCTCTAAATGTTAGGGGTAGTCCACCCCTAAATTTTTTATTTTTATTTTAAGGCAAAACAACGTTTGCCGGGACAGGTAGTAAACAGCTACAATTTCCTGTATGAATTTTTGATTTCATTTTCTTTGAATAGCCAACTCTAAATCATGAAACCGAATAATTTCTTGAATATAATATGAATAAATAAGTAATAATAAAAATAGAAATAGAAATAGAAATTCTTTATTCAAATAAATTTGTCATTATATCGAATTATAGGTACTATTACAAATTGTTATAAATGATTGTACAATATTAACGAAATAAATAGAGCTATAAGTAAAAACAATCGAGTCAAATTATGCAAATAGAAATAGAAATAATCCTTATTGATTAAAATCAATAGAAGCACTGTTGAATGGTTTTTTTTTTTATCTACCACTCATTTGGAACGCAGACTCATCACAAGAAAAATGAGCAAGAACCTTGTGTGTTGCTCTTTTGAATAGAACGTCAATTCAAAAGAGCAATTTAATTTAAAATATTTTATAATAATTACACAAACATGAATTCTTTTTAATCGAAAATGTTTAATCTTTTATTTAGTACTATATTTTCTCTAATTTATCTCAACTATAGCGTGTATATTGATATTTATTAGAAATTCACGTCGCGTCGCGTGATTGCACATAGTTAAGTTGTGAATTGAGCACCGTGAGCACGCGCATTCATTGCGCTTTTTACAACAATTGTACTGTCAGAAACATAAAAAAATTATAACCTGTCAAACGTGAAATGTCTATATTATATAGGTATAACAACGGAGATATTGTCATACCTAAAAAAAAAAACAAAACTAAATGTTTTTACTTAAGTTGTACATATTTTAGATTGTATCCTACATTAATCCATACTTAGTTTTTAAGTTCTGTCAATTTTAAGGTTGTAATCCCAGTTCTCTGAGGCTTTTTTTATGGATGATAATGGATTGGTGCACCCGCCTGCAATAACGGTTTGCGTTGTTTGGTTGTACCAAAGGAGGATGATAAGATGAGCGTGAAGACAGGACAATTAACCCATTTTGGCAAATGGCAATTTACCACGATGGTCCTGGTGTGTGGAGATCAACCTGACAACCATGTCACCATGTACCAACATTGGCAGCAATGGTAACCCCATTGCTAACAATGTTATTCTATTATAACAAATTTATCACAATGGTTTTTAGGAGGAGCAGTGTGGAGAGACTTTACTAACATTAGAATTATTAGTCCACGTTACTAACAAGCCCCTTCTTTTCAAACACTTATATATTACTTACTAGCTACTCGCCCCGGCGTCACACGGGTGTACATGTATTATATATATAAACCTTCCTCTTGAATCACTCTATGTATTAAAACATACCGCTTCAAAATTGCGTAGTTCTAAAGATTTAAGCATACATATCTTATAGGATCTGTCCCTAAAAAAAGCATAAAAAAGCGACAGCGACTTTTTTATACTATATAATGATTTTATAGATAAGAGAATGTTACATGTTTTTACATCATCCCCCTAATATGATCTTCTCACAACCACATTGTAAGGCGTAACGGTTCATTCATAGTTTGCGGCAACGGCAACTGCAATGACTATACCTGGAAACCGCACATGCAGACAATTCTCGCAATCGTTACATAACGGAACGCGGTTTTTACAATTTATCGGTCTTTAGTGCATAATAGAGATCGAGTGATGGAGATAACCGCAAATAACGGTTTAAACCGAAGATTTTACGTCTCCAATTCACATAGCCGCATCTAGTCCTAAGTTAAGCAGAGCTTGTGTTATGGGTACTGGACAACTGATACAAATACATATTTTTTTTGTAAATACATACATAATATACATAGAAAATACTAGATAACTGGTTAACATAGATATGTAACATAGAAAACACCCAGACCGATACAAACAATCATACTCATAAATACAAATGTATATCGTGCGAGGACTCGAACCCGCGTCGATTAAGTCGGTGTGCTAAACCGCTAAATCACCGAGGCCGTCAAATGTTAAGTAATTAATTCTATACCCCATAACTGGAATCGATTACAATAATTGCGAATAATTCTTTTGATAAGCGACCTCTCTTATTGTATAGTGGGTTAATTATATGATTAAATACGTCCCTTAAATGAATTCAAATTGTAATGGTTGAGAGTTGGTAACATTATAATTATGACGCGTCATAATGGTAATGTAATTAATTTAACAGATGATTAGTTACATGCAGTTCTATCCATGTCAAGGTTAGATTGATTGGATCGCTTCAGAGAAATTATTTTAATTAAACTCCAATGTAATTATTGAGTGATAGATGTAATTATTCCATTACTAGCAATGGACACCATCATTAAATTCCTCGTCAATTTGCCAGGATGGGCTAACAGACCTTTGACGACCTCGGTGGTCCCGGTCTATACACCATCATTAAATGGTCCTCGTCAATTTGCACAAGTATGATTGTTTGTATCGGTCTGGGTATTTTCTATGTATAATATGTATGTATTTACAAAAAAAAAAAATCTATGTGTATGTATCTTATCCTCCACAAGTCCTGTCAGCGAAAATCATTAGCGTACTATAAGAAACAGATATATCTAAAGACATGCAATAAACATAAATAAATATTGAAAACTAATAAATTAATGGTTAATTCATATGGGAAGTGTTAAATATAGGTAAATCTATACTAATATTATAAAGCTGAAGAGTTTGTTGGTCTGTTTGTTTGAATATGCTAATATCAGGAACTACTGTTTCGAATTGAAATATAAAGCTGAAGAGTTTGTTGTTTGTTTGAACGCACTAATCTCAGGAACTACTGATTCGATTTGAAGTATTATTTTTGTGTTGGATAGACCATTTATCGAGGAAGGCTTTAATCTATATAACATTATGCTACGACCAATAGAAGCGAAGCATCAGTGAAAAATGTTGAAAAAACGGGTAAAATTATCCATATTTGAGAGCTTTTGTTGAGTACACAGCGCGAAGTCACGGGCACAGCTACTATAATTATGAA